ATATGAATTAATAGAAAGAAAATCTCAAATATTTTTCCATTTACAAATTACTATTCATTTTAGAGACCCCTGCATCAGATTCTGATCTCTAGCTCAGTAGTATGATGCGTGGAAAGAAGAAAAACTTACAGACAGAAGTAAAGAGACAGAGACAGGAACCGAGGTTACCAGTGCTTGAACAAGCAAAGGCCCTGAAAGGCCACAACCACTGATATTTATTGGTTACACAATCACTGTTAAGTTGGGGTAAAGGGGCTATGTGAGGGGGCTGCGTGTAGTTGCTAGGGATAAGTTGCTGATGCAGGCAAGGCTTATAAAAGAAGAGACAAAGCATTCTTATGTTAGGCTGGGAACAGAATTTGGGTAAGAGTTACTCTGACCTCATCTATGTGTTTTCTCATATGCTTTGGCCAGACTCATTTAAAATAAGCCAATGTGTGGTTAACTCTTTACAACTTGCATTGCTTACAGCCTGCCTTGGGCATAATCAGTGGGGCAATCCTCCACAATGTTAGTGAGTAAAAATTAAATGTTAAAAATTGCTCTATATTTCCTATATCATTGCCATATTACTGAATGCAATGTATATAAAATTAGATAATGGGAGAATATCTCAATATGAACATGGTCGTGCAATATCAAGCAACTCGACCTCTTTCAGCATCAGAATCCACTACTTAAAAATAGAAGTGAATTGTGCATATATATATATATATACATGTATATGATTAAGCAATTTAATGAATGCAGAAATTGGAGTTGAAAATTACAAGTGGTTGCAATTATGTTTGTTCATTTACTTTGAAGTTATTTTATATCTTCAAGAAGTAGTAGCAACATTTTACAGATATTACATGAATTCTTAATCTTAAAACAATATTTTAATTTTATTAATAAAGCCATGATTAAATTTCATACTACTAATGGTTACATTTATATTTAAAACTTGCATTGAATAAATAGACATTCCACATGTTTCTTTAAGCAAAGTATGCATACTTTTGAAAATTTATATCAAAATGGTTAGAACAATTACCATTAAATAGCATAAGTCAATATTTCATAGGACTTGATATTTATATACCAAAAGAGTACCTGTTATTGTTCACAATTTCAAAAGTATCTAGATACGGTACCTTTATTTTTTCTGAATAATTTAGAATAAGGGAAACAAATTTATATTTTGAGACATCAGCTACACAACATAATACGGTAAAGCTCACACTTCTAAATCTCCCTTCCATACAGATAGAACTATTTCCCACTTTTGTGTCATCACTGAGGTCTCATTAAGTTAACAGTTAGAAATATTAACTCTTTGATATTTTTAACGAAGAAAATAGAAACATACAAAGTGTTTAGTCAACTTAGGAAGAAAAAAAGTGTGAATTTTGCAGAGATGACATGAGGCAAACAAAAAAAGTTTGATTCTTCTGGAAAGAACAGTTTAATCAGTAAAGTGTTTTGGGGATACAGTGAGATAAGAGAACAAACAATAATATCACTAGTGTAAACAGAGACAGTAGTCTTACGTGGTGCAGAAAATAATTTATCTTAGAGAAGAAATAGAGAAACAGAGAAGAAATGTATTGCTCAGAGGTAAGACTACGTATTCGCTTTCATCATTGTGGGGCTTCAAAAGAAATAGTATAACAGGATTTCTAGTATGAGCACATTAACTTAAGGTCGCTAATCTTATTCTTCCCTTTGAAATTCACAAGGAGCACAAAATAATAGCAATGCATCCTTCTTACATGAAGCTATGAGCAACTGAAAACCCAAATAATGAAGAAAGGTGTAAAGTCTGCCAAATGCAGTGGAGGTAGGAGAGCAGTATTATCTGGACTAATAGGGGAAGCTAGGACACAGATTCCAAAGGTAGCTGACTATGTACTATACTTGAATGTGAAGACAAGAGCCTGAATTGAAACAAATATTTCCCTTTGCACAATGATTGGAAGAGTGTGCAAAGGCTGAAAGTATGACTTTGTTTTGAGAGGCATGTAGAAATCGTCTAGAGAATAAATACTTCATTATGGATACATACAAGAAAACATCACATTGAACATCTTAAATGCATACAATGTTTATAAAATGTTTAAATAACACATGCAAAATAAATATTTCTTTGGTTTTGTGAGTATTTTATTTTCTTTGCAAGAAATGCAAGCTAAAACCAGCTAGTCTACATGAATTGATCTGAAGAGTGAGTGCCCCTGAAAGACAGAAAAATGAAAATGTAGAGAAGGAAACATTTGATAAAGTTCTCAGACTTCAACAAAATCAATGAAATGCAAGATTTGGGGCATACTGAAAAGGAGAACTAAGACACATTAGAGTGAATTCTTCAAATATCAAAGAAAAAATACTAGAGGTTTACAGGGCAAAAGCAAGAAACACAACCAGTAGAACATTTTTTACTGACAACATATGATGCAAGACATTGCAGAAAAAAATGTGAAATTTAGCATATATATTTATCCATGCTGTCATTCAAGTAGAAAAGCAAGATGAAATGATTCTCAGGAATACAAGCTGCAGAATTTTTACTCCTGTGATATTTACAGTCAAAACAGTTATAAATGGGAGGTCTACCCGGAAAGGACCTGCACAGGCGTGCAGGCTTCCTCCAGAGGCCCTCCATTCCATTGGAGAGTGTGTGCAGATCCCGGGTAGCAGCTGTGTGGTCCAGACCAGTGTGGCTGCAGGCAGATCCCAGTCGAGGTCTGCCCCCACCACAGAGGCTCCGACCCACCCACACAGGCTGGGGGTCTGCCCAGAGGGGAGCTTCATGGGCACACAGTCTTCAACCAGAGGCCCACCATATCATTGGCCAAAGCCAGGGAACCGCCTGGAGAAGAACTGTACAGGCACACAAGTAATACACAGAGGCTTGCTCTGATACCATTGACAAGTGTGAGGAGACCCTAGCCAAAGCCTGTTCAGACAACAGGAACTGGGGTGCATAGACCCAACCAGAGGACCTCACTGACAACAGGTACATAGGGGCCCCAGTGAGAGGCAAGCCTAGATACCATCCCAAGTGCACACAGGCCCCAGCCAGAAGCCACCCAGACAACAAGTCAGCTCAGGGATCCAGAAGGCCACCACTCTGAACCCAGGAATTGGTACACTGGTGAGCAGCAGAGTAAAGGCTGCTCAGTGGCTTGCTGAAAATTCAAGCCCACTGGGTGAGCAAAAAGTCACCTCAACAAAGACACAACGGGCTGCACCTTTTGAAATGAGAAGACACATAAACGAGTCTGAAAATCAGACTTCCAGATCACCTAAGGGAACCCCAAAGGGCAATGAGATGAAACAAGCTGACACTCAAGCACTTGGACTCCCTCAAATGGCAACAAAAGAGGATCTGGAAAAACTGAAATCAGAAATGTTTTCTCAGAAAACAGCAGAGATTGTGCCAATAGTGCCTGACATGATTAATAAATCTACAGCGGACATGGATAAAGAGAGGAGGTGAGGAACATGATGTAATCCCAACATAGGAAACAAATGGAGTCCATAAAACTGATGCAAACAGATTTCCAGGAGATTAAAAACTCCATTAAAAGTCTGTGCAGCAGAATGAGCCAATGTGAGGACAGAATTTCAGATATAGAAGATAGGATTGCAATTAGTGACCAGGAAAAGAAAAATTTATTAAAAATAGTAAGGGACCAGGAGAAATCAATACAGCAGCTGCTAGATGATGCAAACAAAAATAAAATCAGACTGATCGGAGTCAGTGAAGAAACAGGAGAGAGTGCAGACAACATAAAAAAAAAAACTGTTCACAGAAGTGATGGCAGAAAACTTCCTAAATAGGGGAAAGAACTTGACATAGAGATAAGTGAGGCATATAGGACTCCAAAGAGCCATGATTAAAAAAAAAAAAACTACACATAGGCATACAATAGATAAGATTCCAGAAACTCAACAGAAGAACAAATGTCTACAAGCAGTTAGAGAAAAGAAACAAATCGCATACAAAGGAAAGCCCATCAGAATCGCAACAGACTTCTCAACACAAACCATCAAGGCAAGAAGAGCTTGAAATGATGTGTTTCAAGCCCTGAAGGAAAATAGCCTCCAACCCAGATTGATGTAGCTTGCAAAACTATCTTTCAAAGTAGATGGAGAAATAAGATACTTTCATGACAAAGAGTACCTTAGGAACTTCATGAATACCAAAGCAGCACTCCAAAAAATTTTGGAAAATATCCTAGAGAAGACAATGAGGATCACAATGCCAGGAAGCCCTGAAGAATGAATCCATCCAGCATGACAAGAAATTAAATGAAAAGGGTGGAAATCCAACAAAAACAAAAAATCATGACAAGTCTAAATCAATATGTAACAGTTATAACGATCAATGTTAAAGGTCTCAATTCACCAATCAAAAGAAATAGACTGGCAGAATAGGAATAGAAACAACATACAACAATATGCTGCATAGAAGAAATACACTTACTTCAAAAATAAACTGATAGACTAAAAGATAAAGGGTGGAAAACAATACTCCATGTGACAGGAACACAAAAAAACACAAGAGTAGCTATCCCCTGCAGATCAATTGGATTTCAAACCAACACTGATTAAGAGAGACAAAGAAGAACACTATATCCTTGTAAAAGGAACAATCCAAGAGGAAGTGATGACAATCATTAATATATATGCACCAAACTCTAGTGCACTCAACTATATAAAACAAATACTAATGGACATGAAAAATCAAATAAGAACTAATACAATAGTAGTGGGTGACCTCAATACCCCACTGTGACAAACAGATAGATCAACTAGACAAAAAATAAACAACAAAATATTAGAACTCAATCAAAATCCTGAACAAATGAATTTAACAGATGTTTACAGACTGTTCCACCCCACATTCTTTTCAGCTGCACATGTGTCGTTCTCCTAAATAGACCACATACTTGCTCACAGAACATGTTTAAGTAAGTGCAAAGGAATTGAAGTTATCCCCTGTATATTATCAGACCATAGTGCAATGAAATTGGAGA